CTGTGAAGGGATCTGAGGGTCCAGGGCAGGTGAGGGGGTCTGTGAAAGGATCTGAGGGTCTGAGGTCAGGTGGGGGTGTCTGTGAAGGATCTGAGGGTCCAGGGCAGGTGGGGGGTCTGTGAAGGGATCTGAGGGTTCAGGGCAGGTGGGGGGGGTCTGTGAAGGGATCTGAGGGTCCAGGGCAGTTTGAGGGGGGTCTGTGAAGGGGTCTGAGGGTCCAGGGCAGGTGGGGGTGTCTGTTAAAGGATCTGAGGGTCCGGGGCAGGTGTGGGGGGGTCTGTGAAGGGATCTGAGTGTCTGAAGCAGGTGAGGGGGGGTCTGTGAAGGGATCTGAAGGTCCAGGGGGGGTCTATGTCCAGGAGGGCAGCTGAACTGGAGGGATCAGGTGGGGGGCTCTCCATGGGGGTCCCCACGTGGGCAGGGGGAGTCTGCGTCTCCAGGGGACAACCCAGGCTGGGAGGATCAGATGGAGGGGTCTGTGAGGGTCCCCAGGGGAGATCTGTGTTCAGGAGGGGACCTGAACTGGGGGGATCAGGTGGGGAGGTCTCCATGGAGGTCCCTATGTGGGCAGGGGGAGTCTGTGTCTCCAGGGGACAACCCAGGCTGGGGGGATCAGATGGGGGGGGGCCTGTGAGGGTCCCCGGGGGGGGGAGTGTCTGTGTCCAGGAAGGGACCCCCAGACTGGGGGGGCAGGGGAGGGTCTGCACAGGCAGCAGGCAGCAGGATTCCCAATTCCAAGCGGTCCCAGATTTACCCCTCCCAGTTGGGATGGGGGTTGGGGGGAGGGGACCAGGGGTCATCCCCACACTGACCCTTCCCCTGGGTCCTGCCCTGGGAAGGTGCCAACCGTGCCGAGCTCGTTACCGGGGTCAAAGGAGCATCCGGCGACCTTGGAATCTGTGCCAGGAGCAGCTTTAATCCCTCTCGGAGTGGGGCTGGGGGGTCTGGGGGGGTTTCCTCCCCATGGTGGGAGCAGGATGGACCCCAGCGGTGCTGCTGCCGCTCAGAGCAGCTTTGGGCTCACCCTGGAGCCGCTTGGAGCGGCTTTGGGATCATCCCAGCGCGGCTCAGCTCTGCTCAGAGCAGCTTTGGGCTCATCCTGGCGCTTTGGAGCAGCTTTGGGCTCATCCTGGAGCCGCTTGAAGTGGCTCTTGCCTCGTCCCAGCGCGGCTCAGCTCTGCTCAGGGCAGCTTTGGGCTCATCCTAGCCCCTTGGAGCAGCTTTGGGCTCATCCTGGTGCTTTGGAGCAGCTTTGGGCTCATCCTGGAGCTGCTTGGAGCAGCTCTTACCTCGTCCCAGTGCGGCTCAGCTCTGTTTGGAGCGACTTTGGGCTCATCCTGACCCCTTGGAGCAGCTTTGGGCTCATCCTAGAGCTGCTTGGAGCAGCTCTTACCTTATCCCAGCGCAGCTCAGCTCTGTTTGGAGCGACTTCAGGCTCGCCCCAGCACGGCTCAGCTCAGCTTGGAGCAGCTTTGGACTCATCTTGGCACGTTTGGATTGGCTTTGGACTCGTTCTGGAGCCGCTTGGAGCAACTTTGGGCTTATCCTGGAGCTGCTTGGAACAGCTTTGGGCTCATCCCAGCACATCTCAGCTCCACTTGGAACAGCTTTGGGCTCATCCTGACCCCTTGGAGCAGCTTTGGGCTCATCCTGACCCCTTGGAGCAGCTTTGGGTTATCCTGGAGACACTTAGAGCAGCTTTGGGCTCATCCTGGAACCACTGGGAGCAACTTTGGGCTCATCCTGGAGCCGCTGGGAGCAGCTTTGGGCTCATTCTGACCCCTTGGAGCAGCTTTGGGCTCATCCTGGAACCACTGGGAGCAGCTTTGGGCTCATCCTGAGCCGCTGGGAGCAGCTTTGGGCTCATCTGGCAGATTTGGAGCAGTTTTGGACTCATCCTGGCAGATTTGGAGCAGCTTTGGGCTCTTCCTGGCACACTCGGAGCAGCTCTTGGCTCATCCCAGCACAGCTCCACGCTGGAATTCACTGCTCCTTTAAAGGACAACGTGCCCAGAGCGTCTCTGCTGGACTCCGAGGACCCCACAGCAGAATTCCCTGAGGATCCCAGCGCTCACCGAGCTCCTGGATCCCAACAAAACCCCTCTGTGGTGCGGGATTTGCCGGCTCGTTGGAGCAGGACGGGAAGAGCTCCCTGGGAGATGCATCCCTTGCTCCCTCTGGCTCTGGGATGGGGGAAAAAAACCGCTTTTTGGAGGAATGTCAAGGATCACTGGGGGTTTCCCTGTGGAAGGAGAATCATCTGGGAATGTCCTGGACCTTTTTTTGTGGCCAGGGATGGAGTGGGGCTGCCCATCCCTGTCCTCCTGTGTCTTGGCTCTGCTCTGCCACGGCAGGAAGGAGGAACCACGTGGGGGAAAAGGTGGAAAAGCCACGCGGGGAAGGAGGAAACGTGTGGGAAAAACCCAAAATCTGCCCAGCTTGAGCCCTCTGGGAACACGTGGGATGCCCTGAGCCCGACCAGGAGCTGGCACAGAGCGGGATAAGGTGATTCCATCCTCCTCCACGGCCACCCTGCTCTGCCAGCGAGGAAAAAACACCGTGGGGGCGAGGGGGGGGAGAAAACCGAGCCTGTCCGGCCCTGGAATGCCGGGAGCGTCCGGGACCTTGGGAACGTGGCCGTGACCTGGCGTGGAGGAGGAGAATTCCATGGGGCTCCACAGTGCCAGGGGAGGAGCGAAACCACACGGAGGGGGGGAAAAAAACCACGTGGATGGGGCCCAACCTTGAGCTGGGAGAGTGTGGGATCCTTGGCCATGACCTGGCGAGGAGGAGGAGGAGAAGGAGGAGGGAATTCCAGAGGCACGTTCCTCTCTGTCTCCACTGGTTTTTGTGTTTCTTCTCCCAGAGAGGGGAAAAATATCCACACAGGGAGAGGTCACAGCCCACGTTGGGAGCGTGGCAGACCCGGCACGGAGTGGGAAAACGGCATCGTTCCGTGTCGTGGATCTACCCGGCCACGGGTTTATCCCAGGGAAGAAAAACATCCATGGCTGTGGCCTGGCAGACTCCAGTGTGGAGGGGGAAAACCCTGAGGTGTTTTGCACTGTGGGTCTGCTCTTCCCTGGGTTTTTTTTTCCAGGAGGAAAAAGGAACATGCAGGGGAAAAAAACCGTGGTTGAAGTGTGTCGGAACTGGGCGTGCTGTTGGTGTGCTGGAGCCCTGGGAGCAGTCCCGACCTGGAATACTTGGTCCTGATGGAATATGAGAGGGAAAACGGGCACCGACCTCCTACATCGCTGGAAAACCGGGAAAACGCAGCTGGAGCTTTGTGGAGTGTGGTGGATCCACAGGCTTGGCCACGAACCGCCCTGGAGCCTGGAAACACCCGGCGCTGCTCTGGTCTCCTGCGGATGGTTCTGCTCTTCCAACGAGGAAAAAAAAAAGCCCCTCAGGGAAAATGGACACATCCAAAGCCTTTGGACACTGGCAGGGTCGCCCAGTGCAGGAATTCCTTGGAGAAAGGCCCCTTCCTGCCCATCCAGAGAAGGCAGCGATTGATTGTCCCCACTTAACCGGTTTAGCATTTAAATTGTCCCAGTCCCGCTCCGGGGCGATGGGCTGGGGGGAAGGGTTTCCTCACTCCTGCTGCCATCCCAGGCAGCGAGCAGAGCTTGGGAAGAGCTTGGGAAGCGCTTGGGAAGCGAGTGGAGTTTGGGCAAAGGTGTTTAAACTTCACGGTGAGCCCCCGCGACTTTTTAGGGACCGGGAGAAAAGGGGAAACCTCCCCTTTTTTACCCCCCCTGGTGGGTTTGCAAACCCCCCCAGCGGGTTTTGGGGGAGGATTGTTGTTTTTTAGGGAGCGTGGCTGATGGATAAATCCCTGTCTTGGGAAGGGTTAGAGGGAAAACCTTGGGAAAGGGGGTTTGGGTGAGCACGGTGGGGCCTCGGCAGCGACGGGCGGGTTTGGGGGCCGAGGGTTGGTGGGCGACGCCAACCCCGATGCCAAGAGGGGTTTGGTGTCGCTCCCAGCCTGGGAACCTCGGCACAGGGGTGGTTTAATGCCGGGAGAACAGGCAGCAGCTCCCAGCGGGATGCCGGATTCCCACCCGGAGCCAGCTGGGATCGAACCCCACGGATCCGGGCCCTAAACCCGGCCGGTGGGATTTCCACCCGTTCTCACCTGAGGACTGGGTTGGGATCTTTCCCTGCCTGCTCCCTGCTCCTTGCTGGCACCATGGGTGGAACCACCGTGGCACGACATGGGAAAAAGAGGAATTCTGTGCCTTCCAAGGGGATTTCAGGATGGTGGTTAAAGGCGACTCCTCAATCCTCTGTTTCCTCCAGTAATCCGGCGTGGGGAGAGCAGGTGGCTCCATCCCACCGGAACATCCCTCGTCCCAAACCCACCGGCACCGAGCTGATGCGCTGGCAAACCCCTGAAACACCCAAAAATTTGGGATTTGCTCCCTAAAAACCCCCGGGTGGATTTGGAGAAGCATCGACGTGGTGCCGCTTTGTGGGATGGGAGAATCCCGCCGGCGTTTGGGACGACGCCGGTGGAACATCCCTGAAAACCATCCCTGAAAATTCCAACTGGGGCAACTGGAATTGAAACCCACGGGAAGGAAAACCCTCCAGCACGTGGAGCCCACGGGGCTTTATTTTATTTACCCCAATTCCTGGTTTGATTTCCTTATCGTCAAACCCAACCCATGGTGGCTCCGGGCGTCGCTCCCGAGGTGGGAGAGATTTTGGGAGGGGGGGCGGGATTTTGGGGTGGCCCTGGGGGTTTGCTCCGTGTTCTCCTCCCTCGGGGCCCTTCGGGGTGGGGAAACATCTTGAGCCAGCTCGAATAATTCCCTCTTCATTTGCATTCCGTACCTTGAAGGTATTTATAGTCTCTTCTCTGCCTTCTCCTTCCTCGCTGGGGTAAATTTAGCTCCTTCGCTCCCTCCTGTGCCTTTATCCTCCCAGGAGCTGATAAGCCCCGGCTTTTTAGCGCCTCTTTCCTCTTATTTTTCCCTTCTCCGCCTCCCCGGGTCGAGGATCCAACCTGCCCTTCTCCACCATCCTCCTTTATTCCACACCAGGGTTTTCATCCTCAGTTTTAATTCTCACCCTGTAGCGGCGGGGGGAGGTGTTTGGGGTGATGGTTCATTCTCGGGGGATCCACATTTCGGTGGTTGGTACCTGCTTGCCCCTCCCAGGGGTCTCCAAACCCTCCGAGGCTTTCCCGGGATGAAGGTCGGATCCTCTTCGGTTCGTGCGGGGAGAAGGATGTGGCACAAAATCCTCCCCCCCTTACCCCAGTTTTGGGGGCAGCCACCCTGATTTTGGGGCAGGCACCACAATTTTGGGGGCAACCACCCCAATTTTGGGGCAGGCACCACGATTTTGGGGGCAGCCACCCCGATTTTGGGGCAGCCTGTGGCAGAGCAGAGCTCCCAGGGTGGTTTTTACCCGTGGCTTTCCTAGGATTGAAGTTTTTTTTGGGGGGTAAATGATCAATTTGAGGACAACTGGGGTTTTTTGGGGGGGGTGTGGCAGGGGATGGAGGGGGTGTTCCCTCAGCAAATCCCATGGTGAAGGCGGTGGGAAATGCTTTGTATCGGGGACAGGTGGCACCTTTTGGGATCCTCGGACCCCGGCAGGGCCCTGGCGCCGCCCCAGCCGCCGGTGGCACCGGTTTGTGCCGGCGGAGAGCGCCGGGACGCGGCGATGGGACACCGGCAGCGTTGGGTGGGGGGGTTCCTCCTCCACCTCCCCCAAACCCGACCCCTTCCCTCATCTTCTCCTCTCCGCTCTCCTCTCTCGCAGGTTTTGCCGGCAGTCCCTGGCCACCCACCCCCCCGAGTGCCGGCGCCGCGTCCTGCTGCGGGCGAGCCAGCCCGGCCGGCGAGGGATGGAGAGAGCTGTCCCCGATTTCTCGGAGCGCCGCGGAGATGGAGGCAGAGCCCTCTTGATGCCCCCCGAGCACAGCCACGACACCTTCGCCGCCCCCCACGGCGAGGAGCGAGATTCCTCCAGGATGCCAAGAGAGCCCCGGAGCCCCCGGCCTCGTCCGGGACGGAGACGGAGCTGGAGGAGGACGCGTTTTACGCCGCGGGGGAGCTGCCGGCGATGAGCAGGGAGGGGAAGGGACCCCCTGGCGTGGAGGACCCCGACTTCTTCTCCTCCCTGTCCCGGCAGGAGCCCGACGTCGCCCTGGAAGCGCATGACGAGGCCGGTGAGTGCCCGCTCGGCGCCCTCGGGACGGGTCTGGGGGGTCGGGGTCGTCTCCGGGTCACGCTCGGGCTGGCTCGGTTGGTTGTCCTGGCGGTTGTGCCGGGTCTGAGGTGGGTGTTGGTTCTCCTGGTGATGATTTTGGTTCTCCTGGTGGTGATTTTGGCTCTCCCGGTGATGGCTGTTGGTTCTCCCGGTGACGGTGTTAGTTCTCTTGGCATCGGCGTTCCCCGAATCCCAGCGGGAACTGCGGCGCGGTGAGGAGCACGTGGGTTGGATGGATCCAGTTGGAGCAGGAAATGGATTGGAGAGACACGTGGGGGTGCGATGAGTGGCTGATGTCCCCGCATCACTGTCCCCTGTGCCCTTGTCCCCGAGCCGTTGTGCCACCACCCGGCTTTGGCACCACGAACAGGCACAAAACCCATTGTGGGGGGGTCAAACCTGTGGCTTTTTGGAGACCCCTCAATCCCCTCCCAGCACAGTGTTGGGACCCCAAACCTCCAGAGGCTCTTGGGTGAGCCAGAAGGTCTTCCTGGAGTGGTTTGGGTTGGAAGAGAGCTAAAAGCTCATCCAGTGCAGCCCTTTGCTGTGGGCAGGGACGTCTCCCAACGTGTCCCACTCAGGGAAGTTGCCCATCTTGGGGTTGCTCTTGGACACTCCCAGGGATGGAGCACTCACAGCTTCTCTGGGCAGCCTGACCCAGCGTCTCACCACCCTCAGAAAACATTTCCTAATCGTGTCTGACCTAAATCTTCCCTCTTTTAACCTGAAACCCTTGGCCCTTACCTTAGTAGAAATTCTTCTCTGGGTTGTGGGAAAAGTCTTCTCCATCTCCCTCACTGACCCCCTTTAGGCTGCAGGAAGCTCTTCCTGGAGCCTGGGACAACCCTGCCGGCCTTTCCTGCTGGGAGAGGTGGATCCACTCCTGTACTGTTCCAGTGCAGAGCCCTGGGGGTCTCTGCTCCTCACTGATTCCAGCTTGGAATGTTGAGTGTAACCCTTTGGATGCAGCCCTTGCCCCGTTCCTGGTCTATCCAATGCAGTTTGTGATACGAGTTGTCCATAAATCCCTGATGGTCCAACTCTATCCCAACAATTTGGGAGGATTAACCCTTTCTTGCCCCAACTCCTGCCCAGGTGAACCCACCCACCCAACCCCCCTGTCCTTCTCCTTGGATGGACTTTAGTGTCTAAAAAAGAGGGAGTTTGTGCCCAGAAAATATCAATGGTGGTACTGGGAGATGGAGAACGTCCCTGTCTCTGTGTCCCACCTGCTTCTGGAAGGGTGGTGGGGCTCACCTGGGGTCTTGAGGGTGCTTTGGGGAGACCCAACCCTGCTCCTGGGCAGGCTTGGAGGGACCCAAGCCCCCACTGCTACTTCCCAGCTGGAAAAACCCAGGGTGAAATGACCCCAAAATTCCCAAAACAGCTCAAAATGCCCCAAAACGGCGGCTAAGACGGACACGCCGCTCTGGGGGTCTCGTAGGGTGGGAAGACCCCATGGAAATGGCTGTGGTGCCACCAGCCTCGAGGTTTTGGGGACTCTTCTGATGCCTCCAACACCCTCATCGTGACCAAATCCCCCCAACATCTGCCAAGTGCCGTGACCGTGAGGAGGTTGGGAAACTGAGGGAGATCCAGAGAGTTTTGGGAGCTGAGGGAGATCTGGAGAGTTTTGGGAGCTGAGAGAGATCTGGAGAGTTTTGGGAGCTGAGGGAGATCTGAAGAGTTTTGGGAAACTGAGGGAGATCCTGAGGGTTGTGGGAGCTGAGAGAGATCTGGAGAGTTGTGGGAGCTGAGGGAGATCCTGAGAGTTGTGGGAGCTGAGGGAGATCTGGAGAGTTTTGGGAGCTGAGGGAGATCTGGAGAGTTTTGGGAGCTGAAGGGGATCTGGAGAGTTGTGGGAGCTGAGGGAGATCCAGAGAGTTTGGGAGCTGAGGGAGATCTGGAGAGTTTTGGGAGCTGAGGGAGATCCTGAGAGTTTTGGGAGCTGAGGGAGATCCAGAGAGTTTGGGAGCTGAGGGAGATCCTGAGAGTTGTGGGAGCTGAGGGGGATCTGGAGAGTTTTGGGAGCTGAGGGAGATCCTGAGAGTTGTGGGAGCTGAGGGAGATCTGGAGAGTTTTGAGAGCTGAGGGGGATCTGGAGAGTTTTGAGAGCTGAGGGGGATCTGGAGAGTTTTGGGAGCTGAGGGAGATCCCGAGAGTTGTGGGAGCTGAGGGAGATCTGGAGAGTTTTGGGAGCTCTGAGGGAGATCCTGAGAGTTTTGGGAGCTGAGGGGGATCCTGAGAGTTTTGGGAGCTGAGGGAGATCCGGAGAGTTGTGGGAGCTGAGGGAGATCCTGAGAGTTTTGAGAGCTGAGGGAGATCCTGAGAGGTCAGAGGGGGACGTTCCCCCAGGTGAGGGTGGGTTTTGGGGTGTCCTTGGTGTGGGATGTCCCTCCATCCCAGTGTTGGGTCCTCTTCTGAGCCGGTACCAGTGGAGGGGCAACACCCCCCCCACCCCAAATCCATCCCCGTGGAGGTGCCCTCGTGCCAGGGAGGAGGTGGAGGAGGAACCCCCACCCTGGTGACCGTGACAGCTCGAGGAGGAGCCCCCACCAGCACTGGCAGCTGCTCTGTTCCCTTTCCAAGCTGGGAGGAGGAGGAAGGAGCCGCTGCTGGGGATTCCCCACCCCCGGGTTGTGACTGGAGGGGGTTGGGTGCCACATCCCACATCCCACCTCCCACGGGGACTCTTCCCGTGCCCTCCCCTCCCCTCTGTGCTCTCCAGAGGGTGTTTCAAACTGCTCTCTGGGGTTTTTTGGGGGCTCTTTTGGAAGCAGCTCGGCTGCAGATGCTCTGACCTTCCCACTCTGCCTATTTTGGGGCTGGTCCCCATCCCCGTGGGGTGAAGAGGGAGTGGCACTTTGCTGTGGGACTCTTTATCACTGTCCAACCTGTGGTTCCCTCCCTGTGGCCTCAATCCACAGTACCTTTATCACCTCTGGGCACCCTTTATCACCCTTTAGCATCCCAGGACACCCTTTATCATCCATTATCACCCCAGGACATCCTTTATCATCCTGGGCACCCTTTATCACCCCAGGACACCCTTTATCACCCATTATCATCTCGGGTCACCCTTTATCACCCTGGCACACCCTTTGTCACCCATTATCACCCCGGGACACCCTTTATCACCCTGGGACACCCTTCATCACCCTGGGCACTCCTGTCACCCCCTGCCAGCAGAGTTCTGCTCCCATGCTATCCATGTGGGGGTGGCGGGCCACAGGAGTCGTGGTTAGGGGGTGATTGGAGCCAAGTTTGGGGGGCAGGGGGTGATTGGAGCAGGGTTTGGGGGTCACAGGGAGATTGGAGCTGTGTTTTGGGGTCACAGGGAGGTTGGAGCCGAGTTTGGGGTCACAGGGCAATTGGAGCCATGGTCATGGATGGTTGGAGCCGTGTTTGGGGCTCAGGGGGTGTTTGGAGCTGTGTTTGGGGTCACAGGGAGGTTGGAGCTGTGTTTTGGGGTCACAGGGGGTGGCTTGAGCCCTATTTGGGGCTCGGGGGGTGTTTGGAGCCGTGTTTGGGGTCACAGGGAGGTTGGAGCCATGTTTGGGGGTCACAGGGAGGTTGGAGCTGTGTTTGGGGCTCAGGGGGTGTTTGGAGCTGTGTTTTGGGGTCACAGGGAGGTTGGAGCTGTGTTTGGGGCTCAGGGGGTGTGTGGAGCTGTGTTTGGGGCTCAGGGGGTGTTTGGAGCTGTGTTTGGGGTCACAGGAAGGTTGGAGCTGTGTTTTGGGGTCACAGGTGGTGGCTGGAGCCCTCAGGGTTCCCCTCAGAGGTTCCCCTGGAGTTTTGGCGTCCCAACTGGGTGGGGATAGGATTTGAAGGAGGATTTGCCAGATGGGAAAGGCTGGAAGGGGCTGGGTTGGGGTTGTTTTCCGCTGCACGAGTGGGAGGGAGGGCGGTGGCTCCTCCCTGCCCTGGGGATTGGGGCCACCAGGGCCCCAGTTTGGGGACATCCTGCTTTGGGATTGCTGTGACAGTTTGGGGTGTGACAAGGGCCCTGATTTGGGGACATCCTGCTTTAGGATTGCTGTGACAGTCTGGGGTGTGACAAGGGCCCTGATTTGGGGACATCCTGCCTTGGGATTGCTGTGGCAGTTTAGGGTGTGACAAGGGGGACATCCTGCTTTGGGATTGCTGTGGCAGTCTGGGGTGTGACAAGGGCCCTGATTTGGGGACATCCTGCTCTGGGGTTGCCATGGCACTGTGGGATGTCACAAAGCCCCCCAGTTTGGGGCTGTTCTGCTCTGGGGATGCTGTGACAGTGTGGGGTGTCCCAAAATCCCGAATTTTGGGATGTCCTGTTGTTTTGGTGGTGATGGGGGAGAGAAACTTTTATGGTTATTTTGGTGGTGAAGGGGTGACCCTTTATGGTTATTTTGGTTGCCATGAACCTTTATGGTTATTTTGACCCCAAATCAGGGTGTTGGGTTTGGGACAGAGCCGAGGGACAGCCCCGAACTGGGGTGTTGGATTTGGGATGGAACCAAATGATGGCTCCAGAACAATGTCTTGGGTTTGGGATGGAGCTGATGGACAGCCCCAAATCAAGGCTTTGGGTTTGGGACAGATCCGATGGGATGGCCCCAAATTGGGGTGTGGGGTCTGGGACAGAAGGGGGGACGATCCCGAGCTGGAGTGTTGAGTTTGGGATGGAGCTGGGGATGGCCCTGAACTGGGGCATCAGGTGTGGGACAGAGCGAGGGGATGACCCTGGAATAGGGTGTTGGGGTTGAGGTGAAGCTGAGGAGTGGCCCCAAATTGGGGTGCTGGGTCTGGGGTGGAGCTGAGTCAGAGCATCGCGTTTGGGACGGAGCCGGGGAACGGCCCTAAATTGGGGCGTCAGGTCTGGGGTGTTTGGTTGGGATGAGTCAGTGAGGGCTCAGATGTTTGTGCCACCCAGGGAGACGCCGAAAAACCATCAAGAAATCGGTCCTCGAAGCTTCAAACCCA